GTAAAACCACTATAACTGATCGATTTACATCAGATACAATGATGTAGATGAAAATAGAATCACATTGTTAATTGCTCAGACACAATTAAATCTCATGAAATGCTATTCGTTGGCATTCCTGGCTAAAAGGGAAATGTATTACTGGTATAATAAGGTATCAAAAGAAAGCCCAAATGTGCTTTGGCAGTTTGGAATGGCATTGCATTGGTCGATACAACCACCATACTGTCATTCTGCATATTAAATAACCTCATAATATCACACAAATATCTTAATTTTTATCAAGTTAACTACAAATGCTTATATTTTATATATAAAAATAATACAAAACAAACTACATTGGAAAAAGAATAGCTAATTAAAAATGGCTAAACTAACTATATGACATGAGAATTTGCCCCTAACTCTACTCAATAAGGATTGGTATATATTGGTAGATGCTGTCTAATAACTGCTATTTTCCATGATAAGTTTTGAGCAGAACATGAAGACAATATATTATGTTTCCATCCTCAGCTATGAAACTACTAAAGTGATCCATTCCGACGATGCGTTCGCAACTGTTGCTTATCTCCGACTCAAGAATATTACATTGGAAGATAAGAAAATTGTAAGTAGGATTAGTTGGGAGAAGGTTAAATTTGTCCAGATTACACATTTTTAATATTAAGGGGGTAAAATGTTGGTTTAAGAATGTTCGATGTAAAGGCTAATTTAAGAGGAAGCTCCACATATCATTTTAACTGCATGTCAATTTAAGTGTGTATAAGTATATATTGAGGTCGCTGCAATTTTCAATGAAATCAGTAAATCACACAGCTGACAATAACATTGTCTAAATTTCTTTCAGGACACAAGTCTCGGTATGTTTGAGAGAATGAAGGGTCTACCAATAAAACAGGGTTGTAAGCTAATAGAAGAATTATTTCCTTTCAATGATCAAATTCCGGAACCTACCACTTTACCGTGTTCACAGCCCCTTGTCAAGCTACGAACACCACAGCAGTTGGGTAAGTCAGAAAGCTCAGTCTAAATACCGGTACATCTCTGTTTAAATACAGTTCACTCCCTCTTCCTACATTTGTTGCAGTTTCCCTGTCTGTTCATATTTCAAGAAAACTTGGAATATAGATGCATCAGTGTAATGCACAGATCTGATTAAAATATGGTGGAAATCTGTGCATACTAATTAGCTGATTTGCATGATAATAGCCAATAATTAGTAATTCCAGTAACTTGTCTAGAACTGTTATCAGATTCCAGTTTTACATAGATGCATTGGGATAATATCCAGATTTGATTACTTTTCAGTTGACTGTGATTTTAATTATATAATTTGCATAACAATTTAGCCAATTTTAGCTATTATCTTCAGAAACATATTTCAATGAAACTTTGTACATAATAAGGCCACACTGATTTAATTTTATGGATGACATCCTCTGAAGACCCCAAAACTAATGCGAGAGGGCGAAAAAGAAAAAAAATCTTGCCAAAAAAAAAATGCTGCTAAAACCACAGGACTATGGAGCTGTTATTACGAATTGAACCACAGTGTATCAAATAAAACAACAAGTCTTGATTTGTAGGAGGCACATGTTGATGTACACATCTCGTACTATATTACTGTCACAGGTATCATCACCTTTGATTTTGAAAAGGCAAGAGGATAAGGCAGATGTTAGCTTTGCCAAAGGCATACACATCAACTCAATAATAAAGAAAAACTTACTGTGTTGTATTGAAAAAAAAAATTAATTAAAAATGAACATTATGTTTGTCAACAGCAACCTGGAAATTAACTTCTTTTACATTCAAACTACAGATTTTAAAGTGACACTTCAGATAGACTAAGTGTAGACACAAATGCTCTAGAACTACTTCAACTATGTAACAAGAGGCTCGATATTGAGGGAAAAAAAAAAAAAAAAACACCAACAGAGAGTCAAACAAAATTTGGATGCAGAAAATTATGTACATGTATCTTGATGAAAATGCATCATATGATCAAAATATTACTGTGTGTGCAAGCAAATTATCTGAATCAGAAAATGAAAAAAAAATAATAAGAAACTTTTCTTTTCCCTGAAAGGGGACTTTGGCCAAGGAGCTTCCGCTGCTTTCGTTGCAGTTTTGTCTACTTCAATGCGGACAAAGCAACCGAACTGACTTGTCGCCTGACCAACTTTTAGGCCACCATACACCTCCACTTCTCTCCCATTTCTCTCATCGTTGCAGAAGAAACACGGGACAGCCACTCTGGACAGTATGTCCTTAAAGTTGTCTGGGCGAAACTCGCTACCAATCTCTCGTATTGCTGTGTAAACGTCACATCTCCCTGGCCAACGTCAGTTGCGTACCAGTCTACAACAATCCCTCCGTTTTATCCCTTAACTTTTATGCTCACATATTTTGGTGGTGTGGTCGCCATGTTGGATCATTTATGACAAAATTGGCATGTTTTGTGACAATCTCCTTCCCATAGGTCTTTGCGCTTTACGTAATGCACATCTAACTGTGCGGAGTTTGGTTTTGAGGTAATCCAAAACGAGTTTTACGACAAGTCGGCGCTTTGCGACAATATGAGTCAGCAAGTTCCGGACAGAAAACCGATCTGTGGAGACTCGTCGTCAAAGATTTTTTTTTTTTTTTTATTTGAGAACAGGCGAAAACTAATGAGCGCGCGGATGTCATCCATAAAATTAAGTCGGTGTGGCCTAATAGACAAATAAATTCATTATCTAATTTGCATAATTCTCCAATTTTAGCAATTCCAGCATAGAACATAGACAAGTTATTTTTGATGTATATATTATTATATATGATTTTTCACATTTTTCACATTTTTTAAATCATAGAGCGATTGTGAAATGACTAATTATGATTCAGAAATATACTCATTTATACAATACGTTATGGGGTTGCATGTGATTTTTCAACAAAGTCCTAACATTTTTAATTAGCTTCCAATATTTTCTATATTTATTTCATGTCTTCAATTCCCTCAGTACTGAGGAGTACTTTCTAAGCTTTATTTGGTCTTCAAAAGACATTTAGCCGCCTTTCTAGTCTATGTAGTCTAAAACAGGTTCAGACATAGATATTCAAAATCAGGGACTTTTGCTTTTGCTTTTGCTTCTGACATATTCAAAATCAGGTACTTGTATTTCCGGTTCTGACATACATATTCAAAATCAGGGACTTGTACTTATTGGCTCTATCATATGTATTTGTCGCACTTCTCGTTTCTTTCCTCTGCTGTTGGTGTAGGGCTAGCTAGCTCTGGGACCCCACCTGTGAGATTATACAATAGAATTTTATCTTCAGGGGCGATTCGTGGTGTCAGGAGTCGTTATTCAAAAATGCTTTGATGGGTTGAGGTGATGACTCAAAACAGATACAGGACAGCACAGGAAGCAATAGGCTAACAACAAAATCTCAGTTACAAGTCAACATGAGCATTTAATAAATAAGGCAAAATATCAACAAAATGTGCTAAATTTCATACACAATAGTACACAATAGTACACAATAGTACACAATAGTACACAATAGTACACAATAGTACACAATAGTACACAATAATACACAATAGTACACAATAGTACACAATAGTACACAATAGTACACAATAGTACACAATAATACACAATAGTACACAATAGTACACAATAGTACACAATAGTACACAATAGTACACAATAGTACACAAATGTTGTATAAAATGCACAGCAAAACTCAGCTCGTAGCTAGCTACAATGCAGCAGTCAATAATAACTATGTTGGTGATATAATATAATAATATAACAACTACCCAAGCTCAATATCACAATAAATGCAGCCCAATAAGCCTTGCACTGCTATGAGTACACAGCACAGGTGACAATATAATTAGAAATACACGCTAAAGATACACAATAAATTCATAACCCACTCGCATAGGGTTCAGAGCTAATCAAACTTTTATCAATACTACAAAAACATCAATAAGGTACACACAGGTGAACCAACTGGTAGGAGAAATACTAGAATTGCAAGCAAAGTACACATAAATTGGCTATATTCAATAATATCAAATGTAGGCAGGGTACACATAAATTGGCTATATTCAGACTGGTAAACTTGCCACACTCGAATGAAATACAAATAATTCTGCAGAATAAGTAAAGAAAATAACACTATATAGAATAGCATGCAACCTGTTGCCACTCGCTCACACAAACGCGTACAGTCTTGCTACGTATAATGTCAGCTGCCTAAAAGTAGTATCGATAAACGCAAAAGTAAATCCGCACGGCACAAATGTATATTTTTGGAGAAATCCAACTAAACACAAATGGGTAAAATATCCTCAAGTACTGACACCACCATACACAAGTGATCCCAAGCAATATGAAACATCAAACTGACATTTGAGCAAACAAGACAATCGCGTCTCTCATGTGTGCACACACACACAGCTGCTTTTCACATCAGATCACATAAGCGGCAATTTCCTGGGGGATTTCTGTCACGGCGAGGCAAAACAACAATACGCAGCACCATGGGAATAGCAAGATTTCACACACTAGACTTTGTACACACGTACTTCACATGCGTTGCGCTGTATCACAAACAAGTCTGACTCAATTTCTACAAGCACTGGTCGCGCAGACAATACAAACTGATGTACTGTGCAGTGTTTTGGTCTTGATGAGCCTGTCCTACACTCACTATTCTCCACAGCGTTTTCATTGCTTCCTGTCCTTCCTGTTTTTGTTGTCCTTGCTTCTTGCGCTGTTTATCCCTGTTTCCTCGCGCGGTTCGTTCCTGCTTCCTCGCGCTGTTCGTCCCTCTCACTAAGTTCTGATCCAGGGGCCATTGAAGCGTCTTCAGCCCATTGCTGCACGCGATTCACCTCATTCACAACGACCTTGCATAGATTCTACAAGCACTGTTTCCTACCAGGTTTGCCATGATCACATGACAGTGTTGAATAGTAAACTTGTTCACCACTTCCGTGTGACTGAGAATGTTCTAGAACCGTACTGTGTCAGGGTGGAATTTTTAGAAGTTGGTTGAATAGGTAATAGGACACTGTAGGAAGCAATAGAAGGTAATAGAACATTCTAGAAATTTGTAGTAAGTTCCAGACTCATTATGTACTGGTATGCTGATGTAATGGTCTATTTATAGACAGTGTGGGTATATATAGGGGAGTTGTTCAGCACTGAGATCAGATCGGAGATCTCATTGAATTGTATTGGAGTTTAAGTATCTAGTTATTGGAGTAGTGTATAATAATACCAGTACCAGTTGAAACCTCATCTGTTGGCTCCGTGTTCGTATTTTATCATCGCCGCCAGGGAAGTCTTTTTGTTACTGTTGCCATTTTGTTATTTGAACCATCACACTTGTACTATACCAATTACGGTAATATTACGTTGCGTGTGACAGAGACCATTCATGAAAACGGGGCATGTCGCTATTACACAAAGTTGAGCACAGCATACAAACTACCAAAATGAGGCAACAACTTGCAAAACCTCACAACAACGGGTAGGAAGGGACTGTTGCCCCAAAGTTTACTGGAGAAAACTATGGGTGCGACATATTCAAAAACAAAGACACTTGTTTTGGATTTCATTCAATGTAATTGCTTAGAATTGTGATATTAATATCACACTGATGTACACAGCAAATTAGGTTTTCAATTTGCCAAATTAAGAGTTATTAATTAAAATGCATTTTTTCTTTTTGATTTTCAGACTGTTCAGATCGAATAGTCTGTAATCATGGGAATGGTTTTCTGTCTGTTTCTGGAATAACTGCTGTTCAAGATGACACAAACGAAGAATGCGATATCGGAAAACTTACAATGAATGCTATGGACAGACTCAAAGGTAATCCTGTCACATAAACTATACTTCTTCCTTACTGTAAAGAATTTATTTTGACATTTTAATTTCAGAGAATATCTGAGGTCAACTGTCAGTGACTTGATAATAATTGGTTATCATTTGATGAAGTCAGATTTGATTCTATTTTTCTCTATTTGGTTTTGATGAGTAAATGGATTCAGACTTGGTGCAACTACATTTCATCTATATTATGTCTCATCATTCAAGGCTGGATGCAATTACCGTAACTACTCTAGTAGAAAATTTGGAAATTGTAAAAGAATGATGAAAGATTCTGTCAAATAAATGACAAAAAGCAATAAAAATCAAGGGGTGTACTTATTTCACTGTAGCATTACATCCTACTTTGCTGACAGCCATTTTTTGGGGAAAATATGCTAAATGCAAATATTTGAGGTTTATAACTCTAGATCGGATTTTGACGACTTTGTCAAGCGGAGCTTATCATATTAGTGATTGTCCGTCATCGTTCGTTGTCCATGTCAACTTTTTTACTTTTTCCACTACAAAACTACAAGCCTTATTGCTTTGATACTTGGTGTACATGTACCATGGGCAGATCTTTCTGAGACTTGTTCATTTCAGGATGATATCGTTAATTCTCTTATTTTGATGAATATTTTTGTCATTTTTGGTAAAAAGTGATATTTTTTACTTCTTCTTGAAGACCATAAGTCTGATTGCTTTGATACTATACATATGGGTACCTGAGGTAGATGTTTCTCAGATTTGTTCATTTTCTAATGATATCTTCAGTTCTTTAATTGAAATGTGCATTGCTAACAGCGGAGCTATCTCAGCCCAGAGGACTTCTTGTTATTTCTTCATTATAGCAGAGTTTTAGTGCATTCCTGTCCCAAATGTTGTCTTTAATTTGTTTTCATGGTTTAATCTACTTGACAGATGTTTTTACAATCGTAACACATAGTTTAATAATGGTATTTTCTCCTTATTCTGTAGCTGAAATAACAAAGGAAGGGATGGTCATGGAGGATATATTCTTAGTACATTTATATATAAAAGATATGGCAATGTTTAAAGACATCAATTCTATGTATTGTCAGTATTTTACTCTCAATCCACCAGTCAGGTAGACAACCACATACAACTTTATACCGTTCTGTCTAATATGTTTGAATATGCTCTACAAACTTTTAACATTTAACAGTGTTAGGGTCATTAGTATTGCTCTATCGTTTATTTATTTAAAATTTTGACCAAAGTCTGGGTTGTAGCATGGGCTGACGACACCCCTATAATAAGCCACTCCCCACAAATAAGTTACAAAAACATAAAGTAAACAGAACGATTGACAACATATAGATACGAATAAATACATTATGTTATATTAAAGATGAATTTCAAACTAATATTTGTTGCATGTGCTATCATGTGCGAATTGAGTGAGTGAGAATCCTTCACTCTTATGGTGTTTTATTTGTAAAAGCATATTTCAGTGTATCTACATGGTAACACGTGCAGTTTGTCTGGGTGACTAGATCTGGATTTATTTTAACACACCACACCCCCCCCCCTCCCGTATATATATCGTATTTGATCGCGTCAGCACCCAGGGGCCTCAACTCAGAAAATCCAAATTTTGTAGGGGTGAGCGATTACTCGAGCGCCATCTCAAAAAAGAATGCAAATGAAAATTTTGATTCATCATGTGACAGATTGAGGGGGGTAATTACGTCTTGGAGGAGAAATCAAATTACGTAATTAGTTGCTTGGTCATTGATTTTTACAATGAAGAAACAGAAATGATCACAAAAAATACGCACATTTTATTACAATAATAATCACGTACCACCAGAATTTACAAAATTAAAAACATTAGAGTCTGTAGGAACACAGTCAAAGTCAAAATTCTCATCATTATCTCCACTCAGTGGCACTGACGAATGTGTTGGACCGTTTGCAAACTCTTGATGAAAATCACTTTCCGCCATGATGCATTTGCAGATTTGTCCTGCAGCAGCGTGACCCCAATTATAAAAATTGCGCAAAAGTGGGGGGTGGCTTTTATTTACAGGGGGTAGCTTTTATTTACAGGGGGGGGGGGTAATGAAGAGATTGCGCTTGCTGCTTTGACAACCCACTGCTCTAATAACGCTGACTTTTTTTCCTATAGGGTTTGTGTTGAAATTGACTTGCCTGGATCATCCATACTGCAAATAGATTGCTTGGCGTATCAGCCACCAGATGACATCAGTGAGAATGTTATTATGACAAGGAACACTATGCATGTACAGAGCCTATCACATTGGGCTCCTGCAAACCTGGGACCATATAGTCAAGCAATTCAGGTATTATAAAATAATCTATGGCATTATATTCCTACAAAACGTTGCAGGAAGCTTTGACCATTAGAAACTTGGCAGAGAGGAGAGATATGAATGAGCTTCTATGTTATATTTTTTCTTTGCATAAATTTGAGCTTGATTTTTGACTCCCGTGTGCGAAGCACAAAAAGGGAGTCTTTGCAGTTGGTGTGTCTGTATGTATGTGTGTGTGTGTGTGTGTGTGTCCGTCTGTTCCACTGATATCTCAAGAA